AAAAATGTATCAGATAACTAATTATGAGGATCTCCCGGCCGTGGGCCCACCCTTCCACGTCAGCAAATGAAGGAGCGTCAGCGTTGGCGGCCTGAGGAGGATTCGTTACTCCGCGCGTACGTACGCCAGTACGGCCCGCGCGACTGGCACCTCATCTCCCAGCGCATGAACTCCCCTCTCCACCGAGACTCCAAATCCTGCCTCGAGCGTTGGAAAAACTATCTCCGTCCAGGCATAAAAAAAGGTTCCCTCACGCCTGACGAGCAGGCCCTCGTAATCCGTCTCCAGGCCAAACACGGCAACAAGTGGAAAAAAATTGCATCCGAAGTCCCTGGGAGGACAGCTAAGCGTCTCGGCAAGTGGTGGGAAGTCTTCAAGGAGAAACAGCTCCGTCAGCAAAACGAGCAACACGGCAAAAACGAGGCCTCGCTAGTCGAGCCGATAAAGGAGCGGAAATACGACCACATTCTCGAGACTTTCGCCGAGAAGCTCGTTAAGGAGCCGGCCCGTTTAACTCCCATGCCTCCGAGCCCGGTTCCGAACGGCACGGGCCTGGGCCCGCTTCCGCCATGGATGGCGGCGGGCCCGGGCCCGAGTTCTCCGTCGGTGGCTCTGACACTTTCGGGCCCGCCGGGCCCGGCAATCTCCTGGCTGCAAGGGCCCGTGGGCTATGGTTCTAATAATAATAATAATGGTGGGCTCGTTTTTTCAGAGATTGGGGAGTGTTGGAGGGAAATGGAGGAAGGGCAGAGGGCTTGGGCGGCTCACCGGAAAGAGGCGGCGTGGAGGCTGAGGAGAGTGGAGCTGCAGCTGGAATCGGAGAAGTCGAGCAAACGGAGGGAGAAATCGGAGGAATTTGAGGCGAAGGTGAGGGCTTTGAGGGAAGAGGAGAAGGCGGCGTTGGAGAGGATTGAGGTTGAGTATAGAGAGCAGCTGGCGGGGCTCAGGCGGGAGGCGGAGGTTAAGGAGCAGAAGCTGGCGGAGCAGTGGGCGGCGAAGCATGCTCGNATGTTGGGATAGTGTTGATGGTGAACGGTTTTTGGGAGGTTATATGAATAATTTTCCTATGTTAATTTGTTTAATTGCTCCTTTAGACATTTTGATTATTGCTTATTCTTGGATCATTTCTTGTGTTTCATGAGAACACAAATCTTGTTTTGTGTGAGTTGGTCTAATCGTAGGTTGATCAGTCGTCACTCTTGTTTATATTTAGTTTTTAGAGTATGATAACTGTGTTACAACAAAGTTACAAGGTATGTGTATGCGTTGAAAATGTTGGATTGTCTAATTGTCAAATGTGTAAAAAGTGTGAATTAGTCGAAATTGAGCGAGATCGAGCATGTCTTGTTTATTAATATTAAAGAGATGAGTTTGAGCACTGATGAGCCGAAATTGAGTCCTAACGAGTCAAACAATAGAAATTACATAAGAAAATTTATTTTTTGAGCCGAACAATAGAAATTACATAAGAAAATTTATTTTTTGAGCCGAACAATAATAATTACATAAGAAAATTTATTTTTGAGCCGAACTCGGATCGAAACATTAACTAATTGACCTTTGAGTCGAGTGGAGCTTACGGATAGATTGTTAAAGTCGAGTTGAGTTAACAGAGTCGGTAGGTATGTCTAGTTGCATATGGTTCTGACTTGGATTTGTCTCAAAAATTTTGGATTGAGTTTTTTTTTTTACAAGATATTAGAAAAATGGCAATTAAGTAGAGTCTATATCATTCTTTTACACAAATTTAAGCCAACAATGTAAACAATTGATAAAAAACATGTGCACCAAATGTATGATAACAATAATAATTAGCAACAATATTTCTTATGAATTTAGACTATATTTTTATTTATTTATTTAGGAATTTAGACCATGTTGTATCCTCCAACTCCCTTAATAAAGCATACGGTACATCACGAATGTTGCAACGTCGTTGAAGGACCTGAATGTCTTGTTCAACTTCTCATGAAAATAAAACTGGAAAAGACACAAAAGAGCAAAAATAAGAAAATTATTTTGGGTGATCCTCAAACAAAATTATATTTCCTTGATAAAAAATTCTCTTATGAGTCAACAAGTTTACATTTTTAACAAAATTTCTGTTTGTGTAGTTTTTTAATTTTTTAGAATACGAGATTTTAATTTGAAAGTGTACATATTTTATTCAAAATGGACGTTTTTTTTAATTGTTATGTCTATCCGACAATAATCTAAGAGCACGTTTGGTTGGGAGGATAAGGTAGGATAGGCCCTTCTATCCTGCGTTTATCATTCGTTTAGTTCATAGGTTACGGGCCCGATACTTTATTTGAAGCCCGCGATAAAAATGGCTTTATCCTGAATATGTGGGATAAAATAATCTCCTCTCACCTCCTAAGATTGAAATAATCTGTACAAGACCAAATATGTTAAATTACCAATATACTCTGGAAAAAGCAAAAAGTTGTCGTCCATTATTCAAATTTTCAGATCTATGAGGGGTAATTTAGTCAATATTCAAGATAATCTAAAATGTTATCATGCCAAACAAATTTAGGTTATGCTTTAATATAAACTTATCCAATACTCCAATCTTGTGTAACAAACAATGGACACTAGTAATCTGAACAGTGCAATCCTTGACAACGAGATAAAAATTGTCTAAACTCATCCTCCCAACCAAACGTGCTCTAATTGTTATTTAATTAGCTAATAATATTAACAATGGATTTAGTACCTTTTCTGTCTTGGATGTTCCTGTCCTTTCCCTAACCTCGACGGTCCATGGTCCACGAAGTCTTTCTTCCATGGTCAAATCATATTTGGTCAACACTTGGGGATACACTTCTGCTGTTGTAGGGGATCCTACCCTCAGCCCCACTGAAGCAATTCCTCTAGCTTCCATTTTCGATTTTCCAGATGTATTATTATAGGGCAATAATGCATAGAAGGTTTTTTCCCCTGTAGCAACCTGTAAAGAAAAAAATAAAATAAAATAAAAATAAAAATGAATAGTACTATACGAATGTCTGACCTGTCTAAACGTTAGACACGACTATATCTTATAAAAAAATACATACTTATGTCATAAAATATCGTACCAAATTACTATTGTTAGATAGATGTAACATATGGTATGACATACTTTTTTTGACATATATGTATAATTTTAAAAAACATGACATTTCATATCATAAATATGGATTTTTAGTTAAAAAAATAAAATGAGTCAGACCTGTCTAACACCGACTCATCCAATAATTTGCGTATTACTGTTATTGTTATAATGATAATAATAGTGCTACGATTAGATAAATCTAATCTTTAGATAATAATATTATTTTAACAAATATACAATTATTTCAAATAAAAATGTCATAATTTAAAAACCATTAAATAAAAGCATGATATTGTATATCATAATTCATAAATGTATATTTTTGTTAAACTAGTATGACTAGTAGACCATTATTAGGCGGACTTATATAAAGAAATTGTGTATTGAGATTATTACTATTATCGTCATCATCATCAAAATTTTTGTTGCACTATTTGTCATTTATTATTATTATTATTATTATTGATTAATTAATCAACCTCATGCATCTCCAAAATAAATTCATAGTCCGGCTCATTGGACCGGTAAAGCCTTAGCGAAAATTTCTTGGTCTCCACGACTTGTGAAGCAGTCAAGTGACGTTTTTTCCTATATGGTCTATTGTGATCACCNNGACACAAAATAAGTTCTAATTGTCTAATAAGTAATAACACTATTCATTTCTAATTTATGTCATGAAAAAAAAAAGGGAGAATAAAATAAACTAAAAATGTGCCTGTTGATTGTCATGATTGGGACCTAGCTTTTGCTCGGGCGGTGGTGGTGACGGTGGCGGCATTGGCGGCATAAAAGATGTCGGCCGGGGAAAAAGTATTCCGTTCACCCGAGGACAACCATAAATCCCATCAATTTCGATTCTTGGCTCGACCTAATATTTAAATAAAATAAAATAAAATAAAATGAGAATTAATTTATACTAACAATCAATATTAGTAATTTCTTATTTATGGGTTTTTGAAATGGATGTATATATAAATAAGTAAAATAAAATAAAATGAGAATTGCATTACACTAACAATCAATATTAGTGCTTTTATTATTTAGGGGTTTTTGGAATGGATGTATATAAGTTGATGCAAACAACGTCTTACATTGTTGCTACCATTGTTGAGCACCATTGATTCTTTATTTTTTTTGTGTTTGTGTGAGAGAAAAATTAAGCAATGAATATATTTGTAAATATGTGATGTGTGTGTATACAGTATATATAGTACTCAAGGTCAATAGGTGGTCATGGCTTTTTGACTACTTATTATGTATGAATGCGTTTTGTTAAGGAATAAAATTTGTAATCTGGATTTTTTTGCCTAAATTGTTTGAGATGTTTTCTGGATTATGTTGTTCCTCATTTTCATTTATCTTACTTATTAATAGTGGATATTACTGGTATTCGCAAAACACTCATGTAATACACTGACATGGTTTTGATTAAAAAATTTACTCATCCATAAGACTCGTTTATGAAATAAATATAATAACATTACAAAAGCTAGAGTCATGAGAACTGGTTCATGCATAATGGTTAATTTGATATATTTTATATGAAAATAAAAAAAAAAAAATTAAAATATATAATTTAAGTTAGTTAATTAAGTGGTTTGTAATTTTAAAAGCATTCATATTCATGTATAGACTACTACTTCAAAACATAAAAAAATAAATAAATTAATACATAACATTACAAAATATTATAAATTTACATATAAAATTACAAAGCACGATAGATTGATACATATAAATTCAGAAAACTTTTCATTGATATGAGAAGATATATATTAGTGTATAGGGGACAATCATAATAAGCACTATACTAATAGATGTAGCATTTATCATATAATATATTATTCAGACAAACATAAAACAATACATTAAATAAAAAATTCATAACACAAAATAATTATTTAAGGACATAATTATAGTCTAGTAGTAATAAGCATGATAAACTATTATTTTATTAATTTCACATTATTTATTTATAATCTATAATAAGAAAAAAAATATCCGTTCAATCCGTTCTAGTTTCAACCCACAAATCTGTACAAGAAAAGTAGGCGCATAAAATAAGAATCAGATTCTGAAATTATGAGAAATTTGATTGAGTTTGTCCAGATTTCTTATACAAAATTATCTTTACGATAAAATTAGATTGAGAAATACGAGATAAGATCGAATTTGACTGAAAAAATCCAAAATCGCATTTCACTCTAATACGTACATTATAAATTTTAAAGATATGATATATAGATAAAATTAGATTGAGAAATAAAATTCAAAATCGCATTTCATTATAATACGTACATTATAAATTTTAAATATGATATATAGATAAAATTAGATTGAGAAATACGAGATAAGATCGAATTTGACTGAAAAAATCTAAAATTCTCATTATAAATTTTAAAGATATGATATATAGATAAAATTAGATTGAGAAATACGAGATAAGATCGAATTTGACTGAAAAAATCCAAAATCGCATTTCACTCTAATACGTACCTTATAAATTTTAAAGATATGACAAAATCGCATTTCACTCTAATACGTACCTTATAAATTTTAAAGATATGATATATCTTTATAATTATCAGTGAATTTTGACATTATTTTACTACTTTCACATCATCAACATTAACTATTATTTTTCAATACTTATTTATAATTACAGAAATTATTATTTGTCATTATTTTGATTATAAGATAATAATAAGGCAAGATATGCTTGAAATGATTATATCCCATGGCAGACTTGTGATTTGGCTCGGCATTTACTACATTTTTTTAGAACTTTTTTGAAAAAAAAATTTATAATAAATCATTTATAAATGAGTTATGAGCTAAAAGAAGCAATTTTAATACTAATAAAAAGTATACCACAAATAATGAATTCACAAACAATAAAATTCAGTATATAATATAAAAAGATTTACATGTGAACGTCATACTTTTCTTATTAGGGCCTATCTGAAAGGCCTGCCTAATTTGGGCTAATTGAAATATCAAAAGCAAGTCAAGCATGGCCATCACTTAAATTTGGATTAAACATAGAAAACCCAACTTATCTGGGTTAGAGTTAAATATGCAGGGTTGTGTTGCATATCCTAATTAATTGTTAGTCATTAATTATGAATAAGTGGGAAAAAAATGGGAATTTACTAACAAAAGAAAAAGATAAAGATGTTATATGATAGCTTTTTTCAGAAGAATGAGAGTGAAAATGTAATTTCAAGTGGGCTATATGCGTTTTTTTTTTTCTTTTCCAAACGATATAATTTTATTCTAACTCAAATAGTAAATACAAACAAAATGTTAAATAATATGATAGTTGGATTCTTTCTTCAAGTTTGTCTCTTTCATCTCACACTAGTGTGTAGCCCGTGCGATGCACGGGAACAATATTAAATTAACAATATTATAAGTAGACCTCGAGTTTGAGTCAATGGCGGAAGTGAAAACTACTATTGATCGTATTTAAAAAGAGAAAGAAAAAAAAATAATTATAAATAAAAGAGGAGGATAAACAATACTTAATAATTATAAATTAAAGATTCGGGGTCAAACAATATAAAATGATTTTGTATAAGAGAATATAAAAAAATTTGATTACACACCATTTCAAAATTATCATTATACTTTTTTGTATGGTTAGCTTAGAATATTTGTAAAAATATTAGTAATTAGACCGATGAAAATTAGCTTCTTAAAGTAGATAATGGATTTCTAGTAGTAATTATGAATTGGTTTCTATTTTATTATTTTTTTTTAAAGATAATGATATTCTAGTAGTAATTATGAATTGATTTCTATTTTATTTTATTTTTCAAATCTGTATAGATAAAAGATGAGATTTTTTAAACACCTAAGATCGTATGCAATGAGATTTTGTAACAGAAGAGATAGCTCGTGTAGATTTATACTAAAAATAGGAAAAAGAAAAATAAATATTTGTTGTTAAAACGATAAACTAAGAAACAGGAAAAAGAGAAACAAATCTTTACACAATTAATGAGCGGATTTTTTTGCCTATTCAGATTTGTCCTACAATTACTATATATATGATATATTTAATGATTTTGGCGGGAAAAAGTTTCTAAATTTGTAAAATAGTTATTCTTTTTATATAATGATAGATAAAGTACACCACCAGTTTTTAAATGACTCTATCCTCTGCTCGTTCTCTTTCCAATGAACTGTTCCAATGAACTGTGCAAATTTTCCACATAAACTAACCATCTCTTCATATTATCTCTCTTCTACTTTTACATCAAATCAACTTTAATTATTTTATTTTAAATATTATTTTAATATAAACTTAAAATTCCACTAACAACTAATTATACCACTTTTCTAAATTAACCATAATTAACTAAAAAAATTCACTTTGAGTTAATTTGAGTGAATTTATTCTTTTACCTACACAATCTAAATGATGTTTCTTTATGAAAAATTACATATATCAATAAATTCTTACATATGACATGCATGTCTTAATTTAGGTTTAATTATATTTTTTAATTGTACCAAAAAAAATATTTTTTTTAAAGAAAATCATTATTCTATGTATTGACAGATTTTAGAATACTACAAATATTATTGTTTTGAATTTTCAAAATGAAAATTATTATTTAACAATTATTTTTGCCATGTGTACATATGTTTGGAGTGGTGAAGTTAATATTATTATTACATACTAAAATGGCCAATTAATATACAAGTAAATTTTCACTTAACTTTTTTTCTTTCTTTTTAATTATAAAATTAAAAATTTCATTTAAAATTGTTATTAGTTTTTAAATTATTATTATTGTTGTCATTATTATTATTATTTAAAATAATATCCATTCCCTTAAGTCTTGCCCATCTTTATTATTATAGTATAATATTTCGAACTCATTTCAAATTATTATATATGATAGATAAATTTATTTATCTGAAACTTGATTGTATTTAATAAATAATTACATTTTTTCTTACAAAGTTATATGTAATTGTCTTTTATGTTATTTAGAGAAAATGGACAAATCAAAGTGATAAAATGATTAGTTTGATATATCATACATGAAAAAATGGTATAGATAAAAAATTGTGAAGTTTCAAACTACAAGAAATAACACATGTAGTGATGAAAAAATTAGTGATAGTACAAATATCGTCACTGAAAACATGTCTATTGTGACAATTTTATCTATTGTCACTATGGTTTGAGAGTGATGAATATTAGTGACAATTTTNGGACTAACACACAAAAACATAAACAAAAAACACACACCTAATGTACAAATAAACTAGAACCTCCCCTACACTAATCAACTCGATGCTTAACCACCAGGGACCGCACACGATCCACATCCACAAGCAAAGAGATCCAACAAAACCACAAATCGGAACCTCAAGCCCGAAAACTGCGGCTACTCGTGCCGCCTAGACGGATCTGAAGAAGAGACTGCTATCGGTTCAGATCTGGACTCCGAAAAACCATCCACGCTTGGAGAGGAGAAGAAGCCGCCGTGAGAACACCAACTCGTCCTCGCCGGAGTGCTCGAAAGAGGGATCGAACGGTCGGCACGCCGCACCAAAGGACCCAAAACATGAATAACAAAACTCTCGGCGAAACAATGGTCGGAACCTCCTCGAGGCTTGGGCCTGAAATCGCGCCATATATTTTTTGTTGGCGGGAAAAAAAAATTGTCACAATTGTTACGTTAAATAGTGACGATAACTAATATCATGACTAAATTTCAAATTAATAATGTGACATGTATTTTTACGTCACTATAATTAGAAGTGTTAAGATATAGGAGCAAAAATTTTTATTGTCACTATATTTCATCACTAAAAAATTATTGTCAATTTTTTAGGTTATATTAGTCATCACAATAGTAATGATAATTTTTGTTACTTAATGTCACAAAACTTTTTGTAAAAAAATAAAAAAAAATAATAATATTTATTATTACCATTATATTTGTTAGTAGGCATGTCTATAAAACCCGCAAGATCTGGTTACCCGCATTTTCGGGTCGGGTAAATTCGGGATGATCGGGGTTCGGGTCGGGTTCGAGTATAATTATGCTACTCGAACCCCTGGTCGGGTCGGGTTCGGGTATGATAGAAAAACTCGTTACCCGACCCGATTACCCAACCTGTTTACCCGCAAGCATCAAACCTTAATTTTGGTTAATGGTTTAAATTTTATTTTATTTTTCATTTTTCTAATTTTCTTATCAATTTTCTTTTTAGTTGTACAATATAAAGTTTAAATACTTAATTTTTAAATGTTACATTATTAACTAGACAAATAATAATTATGTCTCAATAATTATTCTAAAACTAATATAAATCTTTTTATAGTCATTTTAATGCTAAACTTAGTTAATAAATTATTAGTTACATCATATTTAATTGTGGTATTATTTTATTTATTTTCTTACACATAAATCGGGTGGGGTCGGATTTGGACCTAGTAAAACTCAAATTTAAGAATTTGGGTTACCCGTTTACCCGACGAAGGCCCGATAACCTGTTAGGTAAAACCCAACTCAAACTTTCACTAACGGGTAATGAGACGGGTATGAATAGGGTAAATTATATTCGAGTCGGGTTCGGGGTTGCGAAATCCCGCACCGATCCGACCCATTTACACTCCTATTTGTTAGAGTTCAATTAAAGATCTATAAGTATTTTTAATTTTTTTATATAAATTATATATAGTATTACAAAGTAAATTAAGAATAGAAATAGGTTTACAATTTTTGGTCTGTACTCAGTCGCACTTCTCAGTCTCTCACGCCCGTCGATTTTTTTCTCACGCCGGTCTCTCCTCTCCTGAGTCTTCACGCCCGTCGTCTCTTCTCAGTCCTCCTCACGCCCATCGCTTCTCCTCAATCCTCACGCCCGTCGCACTCTGGCATCTCGATATGAACAAAGTTTTATGAGTTGCAATAGATATGAACAAAGTTCACTACATTAATTATTTCCAACCGCCATATATAAAATTACGAAATATTATTGAATTAACAAACAAAATAAAAAATTACATAAATGAAAATCTAAAATTAAAGAAAGTTAAAATCTAGTGTATTAATCAATACTTCTTTTAATTTCAATCCACATATACTTCCTAGTTCATATTTTTTTTTTTTATTATNAAAATATACTTCCTATTATTTTTTATTTTTTTTTCGTTGAGCTACTTCGTAGTTCAAATTAACCTCAATACTTATACTTATCCAAAAAATTATACTATATTCGCTAATGACGATTCTAGAGAGGTATACGCTAAACCGTCTTTGACAGTACAACATTTCCAGCCAGACGTACAAGCACAGAATGACATGAACGAATATGGGTATTTTCGCCCAACAAGCAATGAACCTGTGATGAGATACAGATATTGAGAGAGCGAGAGAGATTGCGGCTGTAAGAATTTGGTGACGATCTGGATTCTCTCAAGGGCTTTGATTAATTTCTGCACAGTTAGTTGCAGTTTGATGCATTTGTGGACGTTCCTACATGTACACGTGTGTGTGTGTTTGTTGGACTGAGACTGAGCTTCAATCCTGGGGAGTGAGAGATTTGGTATCGATAACTGCTGTTGCGTCGGTTGGTTGAAGAGAATGCTGGGCATGGAGGTTGACTCGTCGCCGGAATACGCGGCTCAATCGCACCACGATCTGATGATTCAGGTTTGGATTTTAATTTAAGTGATCTATTTCAGGGGCAGCCAACTATGGTTGATAATTGTATCCAATTGAGGTTTTAGCCTAATCCAGCCTGTATTTGATTTGTCGATGCTCGTAATGATCGACTGTAGTTTCTCGCGGATTAGCCAACAAGGATTGCGTTTTTAATATTTGATGTTTTGCATGTGCTGGGTGATTAATTTGAACTTAAATGAAGTCAGAATTTGAGATTACTGCACTATATCATATTATTGATGCAGCTGCTTGTTTTCCCAACAGACGGAAATTTGGATCATACCCGGATTCGGAAAACTGATGTAAAATTTTAAGTTAAAGAGGCTTTTACGGATGAGGATTCATGTTGAAATGATAGACTGTAGATTCCCTCAGATTAGCTAAAAAAGATTGCGTGTTTAATAATTATGTTTTGCGTGTATTGGGTGATTAATTAGAACTTAAATGAAGTCAGAAGTTGAGATTGCTGCACTATATCATATTATTGAATGCAGCTGCTTTTTTTCACGACTGACGTAAATTTGGATTATACCCGGATTCGGACTTCTTCTGTAAAATTTTAAGTTAAAGAGGCTTTTACGGATGCAGATTCGCGTTGAAATGATCGACTGCAGATTCTCTCAGATTAGCTAAAAGAGATTGCATTTTTAATATTTTTTTTTTTTTGCGGCTGATTAATTAGAACTCAAATGAAGTCAGAATTTGAGATTGCTGCACTATATCATATTATTTAATGCAACTGCTTGTTTTCAACGACAGACGTGTAAATTTGGATTATACCCGGATTCGGACAACTTATGTAAAAGAGGCTTTTACGGATGCGGATTCGTGTTGAAATGATCGACTGTAGATTCTCACAGATCAGCTAAAAATTATTGCTGTTTTTAATATTTATGTTATGCTTGTACTGGGTGATTAATTTGAACTTAAATGAAGTCAGAATTTGGATTACTGCCCGTTATTGATGCTGCTGCTGCTTGTTTTCCCAACAGACGTAAATTTGGATTATACCAGGATTCTGATCACTTATATAATTTTTTTACGTTACAGAGGCTTTTACGGATGGGGATTCCCCGGGACAAGTTAAACCAAGGACAGCCTGGTTTGGTAGAGTATGCAAAGGCCAACAAATTAAGCATACGGTACCTGTTCTCAGCAATCATGCCTTCAGATGAGGAGGAGGTGGATGAAGACGTGTTCCAGGAAAGCATGGCCTGGTTGCAGTGGTTGATGTTTGAAGGCGACCCCAAAGAGGCGCTTGAGGACCTAACCAGAATGAGCTCTGATGAGCGAGGTGTGTGTGGGGCTGTCTGGGGGAACCACGATATTGCGTACCGCTGCCGGACTTGCGAGCATGACCCCACATGTGCAATTTGTGTGCCCTGTTTTGCGAATGGGGACCACAAGGACCATGACTACTCGGTTATATACACTGGTGGCGGGTGCTGTGATTGTGGGGATATTACTGCATGGAAACGCGAGGGGTTCTGTTCGAAGCACAAAGGTGCGGAGCAGATTCAACCGCTTCCCGAGCATTATACCGAATCTTTGGCCCCTGTTCTGGATTTACTGCTCGGTTATTGGAAAAGGAAGCTTCTTGCTGCGAAGTTTTCTTCCGAGGGTAGCCTTAGAATGGTCAGTCATGGTGCGGAACTCAAAAGGGTTGCAGAGGAGTTGACCTCAACCGTGGTGGAGATGCTATTGGACTTCTGTATACACAGTGAGAGTTTGCTCAGTTTCATTTCCCAGAGAGTGTATTCCTCACCGGGTTTGCTGGATATCCTTTTGAGGGCAGAGAGATTCATTGCGAGCAGTGGTGTTGTTGGGAAGCTTCACGAGCTGCTTCTGAAAATGTTGAGTGAGCCGGTATTCAAATACGAGTTTGCCAAAGCATTTGTGCTCTATTACCCGGCGAATGTGGATACTGCAGTAAATGAGGGCAGTGACGCGGCTTTTAAAAGGTACCCGCTGCTGCCGACATTCTCTGTACAGATTCTGACTGTCCCTACCCTGACCCCACGCCTCGTGGAGGGAATGAATCTGCTGGGCGTGCTTTTTCAGTGCTTGGAAAATATTTTCATTCATTGTGCTGGAGAAGATGGCAGGCTGCAGGTATCAGAATCATTTAATGACTGTTTAATCTTGTTCTGCAGTGGTGTAATATCTTAAGTGATTTGTGGCTGGGTTGAATAATCTGGTCTGTATTTTCCAAAATGTAGTATGTCAGATACTTTTTTTATTTGCTTGGTGGAAATTCATTTGTTTTTATTTGCTTGGTGGAAATTCAATTTCGTTATTGGTCTAGTCAGCAGGCGATGCCTTCTAAGTATGGAGATATGAGATCTGACCTTGAGTTTGGCCAGCGATTATATTATATAATGATGTCAACCTTGGTTTGGAATCTTCAGATGAACTATGCATATATAGAGATCTTTGGTATAAATGTATTAATGGATCTTGTAATACTTCCAGTAAGAGAAGGAAAAATTCTTCAAGTGTTCAAGTTTTCAGTTATATTGAAAACTAAATTTTAGTATCTACATGAAATAAGCAGCATATATTTTAAACGTATGTCCACATAAATTAACAAACTATTGCCAAAGTTCAATAATGTGATGGTGGCATAAGGATTTGTACTCCTGGCATACTTAAATCTACAATAATTCATTGACTGAACACGAGATTGATGATGACTGATGAGATGCATATCATGACTGTATGAAGCAAAATTACAGGAACCGTGGGGGGTGGGTGGGTGGGTGTGTTGATTCTTAGTAAATCATTACAATCTCTTGTTTCAGATGAAAAATGGCTGATTTGAGCTGCCTTTTGCAGGTTACTAAATGGGCAAACTTATATGAAACTACACTTCGTGTAGTTGAAGATATTAGATTTGTACTGAGCCATTCCGCAGTACCCAAATATTTATGTCACCAAAGACGAGACCTAGTTCGATCATGGATGGGACTCTTGGCTTTTGTGCAAGGGATGAACACACTAAAGAGAGAAACAGGGAGTCACATTGAGGATGAAAATGAGAATATCCATTTGCCTTTTGTCCTATGTCACTCCATATTCAACATTCTCACTCTCCTTGTTTCTGCTGTATTTTCGGTGGCCACTGGTGATCTCCCCAGTGAAGAAGCAGTCATCAGTGCAAATAAGCTCAATTCTGATGACCAAGACAATAGAAGACATGCTAAAGTGGGAAGGCTGTCTCAAGAAAGTTCCATCAGTAGCATTACTGGAAAGGGTGCGTTAGATTTTGAGGCCAAGGCGGCTGATAGCTTTCCTGTGCCGTCATTAGCTAGGTGGTTTATTTATGAGTGCTTGAGAGCTATTGATAATTGGTTGAGACTTGACACTACACTGGGCTTTCTCAGTGCTTTTTGTCATAAAACAATTGATGGTTCGGGTAATAATTTCCTGGCTTTGAAGAGGACACTCTCCAAGTTCAGAAAAGCTAGACTATTTAAATCACCTGGTTCACCGGATAGTCAGCCTCCCACCATTTCGAGCGAAGCTCATAACAGCACTCCACATGGTGTATTGAGTATTGATGTTGGGCCCAAGGGCAGCCAATCTATAAGTCAAGCGTCTTTGGGTGGTATTGATGATAGACTTCTCGGAGAGAGCACGTCCGAGCTGGAGGGTTTGCGGGCTCTGAAATTATCAGATTGGCCCGATATCGCGTATGATGTTAGTTCACAAGAAATGTCCATGCACATTCCATTGCACCGACTTCTCTCAATGGCTCTGAGAAGGGCACTGAAGGAATGTTTCGGTGAATCCGGATCGTTGTATGTTGCAAGTGCTTCATCGGCTGATTGCCTATCCCTGAAATTGGGTGATTTCCTTGCCCACATCTTGGATGGGTGCCATCCTTATGGGTTTTCTGCTTTCGTGATGGAGCATCCTTTGCAAATAAGGGTCTTCTGTGCTCAGGTTCATGCTGGGCTCTGGCGGCGGAATGGGGATGCTCCCATCTTATTCAGCGAGTGGTATCGCTCAGTCCGCTGGTACGTTTAGACTAGCCTGATGGAAGACCTTCTGTAAGACGAACGCAAAAACTAATTAAAAATATCAGTTCCTTTTATTTTCCCTCATTTTGTTTTTCCCTGTCGTTCGGGTTTATATTTATCTATTTCTTAGAGTTTTCAGTTTTAGAGGTTTTTACGATGGGTATTTTTATTTTATATGGTGCTTCTACTTCTTGATATTTTTAATTATTTAATTATAAAATTTAATTTTAGGGAACCTTTGGATGGGAGCTTGACTCTCGACACAAATCTTTTCATTACAAGGCTAGCTGCTTCATGTTGTATCTGGTTGGGGTTCTTCTTTGTGTTCTTTTGTAATGTCTCAAAATTTTCCGTCTACTTGATGCAGGTCCGAACAAGGTCAAGAGCTTGATCTCTTCTTGCTTCAGTGTTGTGCCGCGTTAGCTCCACCGGATCTTTTTGTCCAGAGAATCCTGGAACGTTTTGGGCTTTCCAGCTATCTGTCACTCAACGTTGAACAGTCTAGTGAGTATGTAAACTCATCTTCTACTTATCCTTCTGGAGAATAGTTGAGTCAGACAGCTGAAGAATATAAATTGGTTTGTCTGCTTGATTTGGTTCTCAATGTCTGAGCTCTGTTACCGAATATTAAAGGAAATGTTTCATCTATAGAGCTATTACTCATATCCAGCTACTCATTTCTGATTTCCTCAATGTGATGAGCAGGACTGCAGTTGGGCTGAAAATGCTTCGCTGTATTTTGTTTATGTAGCAATTGCTTTTAGCAAAACATTACATGAATCTGGGCTTATTTTTAGTTGTTGCTTACATTCCTAGCAATTGTAGGTCGTCCTGACTTGAGATGTCTGCAAAATATGATAAGTCGCCTTTTTCCTATTTAGATTGGCCCCATACTAATGAGATTGAAGATATCTGATGTGTAACACGTGACATAAGTCAATGGTCTAAGAGAAGCTCTTGGATTTTCCGTGTTGGAATTTAATATCAGAATCTGTTTGTGATATGCTCGATCTCCACAAAATAATTTCACCATGAGTCGATGCTTTCTTTATACTTTCCGTTCTGTGTTTTGTCATACTTGAGACAACCCATTTCAAAAGGATGGATAATGTTGAAAAGCATCACAAGTCGTCCACTCAAACTGGTATCTGACTTTAAGTAATGAGGCAATGGCTAAAGAGCCTAGCTTTTCAGTTAATACTGTTTGGTCATAGTAGGTATTTTCATGCATATGAGTTCCATTACTATGCATCTTAACCCAAGTCGTGGGTCTGAGCTTTCAAATGTTACTCCTTTAACAGATATTCATATGTGTTCCATTATAATGCATCTTAACCCGAGTTGTGGGTCTGAGCTTTCTAGTGTTACTCCTTAACAGATAATCATGTGGAATATCGACGTGTGATTTTCTAATTTCAGGCACGAACCGGTTCTAGTTACTGAAATGGTTGCTCTTCTAATACAAATAGTGAAAGAACGAAGGTTTTGTGGGCTAACAACTGCTGAATGTTTGCAAAGAGAGCTGGTGTACAAGCTCTCAATGGGAGATGCCACTCGTAGTCAGCTTGTCAAATCCCTTCCTCGTGATCTTTCAAAAGTTGACGAGCTTCAACAAGTATTGGATAGAGTTGCAGCATATTCACATCCATCTGGCATGACTCAGGTTGGGTTTTGCTAAGTGGATATGACGTTGTGTCCAAGTATATATACGGTTAGCAGCACTAAATTCTATTTTCTCAGGGTATGTATAAGCTGCGGTCATCTTTCTGGAAGGAACTTGATTTGTATCATCCTCGCTGGAACTTAAGGGACCAGCAAGCAGCAGAAGAAAGATACTTGCGGTTTTGTAATGTTTCTGCATTGGCTACTCAACTTCCTAGATGGACAAAGATTTATCACCCTCTTAAGGGAATAGCTAAAATCGCTATTTGTAAAACACTGCTGCAAATAGTTCGTGCTGTTCTATTTTATGCGTCTTTTACTGACAAGTTGGCCACGTCTCGGGCTCCAGATGGTGTTCTTTGTACCGCTCTGCATTTGTTGGCACTGGCACTTGATGTGTGTCGATTATCCAAGGAATCGGGTGATCCATTATGCTATGCAGATGATGTGATTCCAATATTGGCATTTGCTAGCGAAGATATAAGCACGATCAAATATGGTGAACAGAGCTTGTTGTCACTTCTTGTCTTGTTGATGAGGATGCATGAGAAAGAAGCTACCCGAAATATGACCGAAGATGGTAGTTTTGATCTATCATCCTTGATTTCTAGTTTGATTAAGTCCTTGGTGGAGCTTGAACCGGGTTGCATGAACAAATTGCAGAAACTGGCACCTCAGTTAGCCAATCAATTTTCATATTCTGTTATAAGTGATAATGCTAAGGGCATGGATTTGACTTCGGACAGCGAAAAACGCAAACAGAAGTCTCGGGAAAGACAAGCAGCAATAATGGTGAGATATCTTTCAACTACATACAAGCTGAGTACTAGGTTATCAGTTAATTGACAGCATTCTTGCATGTTTCAGTTGCCTTGTCCAAATGGATTTATGGTGCAAGTGAAAGTAGTTTGCTAGTTAATATCGACAAGGCATAGTGGATAAATTGAATGTGTTTGCTTTGACCAAAAGAAAGGAAACAGAGAAAAACCACTACATAGTTAATCTTTGTTTTCAGTGTAAACTTAACTGTGTTGGTGCTGTATGCTTCTATGGTTGTACAGAACATTTAGGTTCTTCATTATGGTGTACCCATTTCACGTTGTAGTCAGTGAAAGAGTAAAGTTGACATAGATTTAAAACAGCAACTATATTTCTTTCTTTATGTAGGTGTTTAACACGGCCTGCACAACATTTAGTGCTCATGGTTTTAGAATTTGATACACAGGAAATGATGCGATCCCAGCAGTCCAAATTTTTGGAGAGCTTTAATTCAAGCCAAGATGACGAGATGGAGGATGCTAAATCTGAGGAAGAAGAATGTGATTTTGATGTCAGTAATGATGCCCAGGAGTCAGCTCAAGTCATATGTTCCTTGTGCCATGATCCGAAGTCTAGAAGTCCTGTTTCATTTTTAGTACTTCTCCAGGTTATCAAGGCTTTTGCATATTATATATTTCATACAGGCTCTTACTATATCATGTGGCTGCTTAACTGGGTCTAGTAGATCAAACATTAGTCACCATATATTTTGATCACATTCTGATTCTGGTTTTACTTTGGATTGAAGAAATCCAGGCTTTTGAGTTTTGTCAACCAAGGGCCACCTTCATGGGAGCAAGTTAGGCGATCTGGTAAAGAGCATGTTTCTAGTGACACAAGCCTACATGGTGATTTATCTCCAACCAGTACATCAAATGGCTCAGAAACACTCTCATCTTCTCAGTTGCAAGATGTGGTTCAGAGTGCTCTAAATGATTTTGCTTCTACGGGGCAGACTCATGAATTGTATGCTATCATGGAATTTATTAAGGCTAGATTCCCTTCTGTTAATACTATCCAACTCCCTTGCACGTCAAAAGGTACAGATGACAAACCAGAACTCACTTTGGAGGCATTTGAGGAAAGAATGTATTTGTTGATCAGGGAATGTCAATCCAGCTGTTCTTTAAGACATGAGGAAAAATGCTCGACTTCTGGGAGCAGCAAGGAAAGCATAAATTGTGATGAATCTCTTTTGCTTGGTAAATACATTGCCTCCTTGCCTGAGCCAGTGGATAGCCCCTCGGCTTCACAAAATGGCCGCTCAAGAAGGAAATCAGAATCCAGCAAGATCTCTTCAGGATCTGATGACTTTGGCCCCTCTGGTGCTGATGGGATTTATGTTTCTTCCTGTGGACATGCAGTGCATCAAGGATGTTTGGATCGTTATTTATCATCACTAAGGGAAAGGTAGAAGTATTTTTACTATACTTGACTGGAATGTTTTCTTAGGCATTCATAATGGCTAAATTTCTTGTTAGAGTCGGTTGAGTAAGGTCAACAATATATTGATGATATGCACATCCCGTATAAACTTTTTATTATTGATCTTCTTTATTGTGTACAAGCAAAGCCAACTTTTATACCATTTATATTCAGGCTCGTCTTTACATTGAATTCTTTTGTTTTCTTTCTATGCTGGCAGATATATCAGAAGAATTGTTTTTGAAGGAGGACACATTGTGGACCCAGATCAGGTAAAGCCTTTTCCTTTCTTCTCCCCAATTGGTCCTTAAAATTAATAGGCTTTAATAGCGCTCACATATTTTGGCAGGGTGAGTTCCTTTGTCCAGTGTGTCGGGGACTTGCAAATTCCGTCCTTCCAGCTTTGCCTGGCGACAGGAAAAGGGTGTCTCAGCCACAGCCTGGTCAAAACATTAATTTTTCACAAGCTTGCGGCCCTTCGACCTCATCAAAGAGAGACTTTATCCTTCATATCAGAGATGGTTTTTCTATTATACAGAGCGTTGCAAATATTGCTGGGAGTACCAAGAGTCTGAAAGTTTTACCTGCTCGGAATGTGAGATTGAAGCCAAATCTAGCACCCATTGTTCGTTTATTATGTGAGATGTATTATCCAGGCCAGGATAAAATTTTAGAATCCGGCAGGCTGAGCCATTCGTTGATCCTATGGGACACGCTGAAGTATTCCCTCATCTCTGCTGAAATCTCAGCCCGGTCGAAAAGGAGCTCATTGAGTCCAAATTACAGTATCGGTGATTTATACAAGGAGCTTAAGAATTCTAGCTGTTTTATCTTATCCTTGCTTTTAGATGCTGTTCAAAGCACGCGGACATCAAATTCCCAGACTCTGTTGTTAAGATTACATGGCCTTCAGCTCTTTACCAATTCCTTATGCCGTGGTTCTTACCCAGATGAATTAGTCAATTGCCCAAAAGGAGGTAGGGTTCCTTCAACCGAAAATTTTATTTTTTACCCATTTTATTTGAACTTATTTTTTTATTGCTTCAACAGTTATAAGCAATTGTAGACCTTCGACTATTATGATGTCATACTCTTCCATTCCTGTATGCATAATGCATGTATTATCAATTATGAGATTGCACATGATAGCAAGATGAAGCCATTTGATCGCATGGGAGCATAAATGCTGTATGTGTCGTAGAAGTTGCTTAACGTGATGCACATTTCTCTTGTTTGATGCCTGTTTCACAAATTTGTTTTTCATCTGAGATTTTGTATCTGTTAAAACCAAGTTTAACCCATCAAGATTTCCAGGTAATATGCGCTACATACTGGAAAATGCCGAACTGGATGTGCAGTATCCAGATGTTCAATTCTGGAGACAAGCATCCAAACCTATTCTCGCTTGTGATGCATTTTCGTCATTCATGTGGATACTCTTCTGTCTTCCATCCCCATTACTATCCTGCAAGCAATCCTATTTATCTCTAGTGCACGTCTTTTACCTTGTTGCAGTGATTCAGGTACCTTGAACTTTGTTTATTTAATCTTCGAAGATCTATATCTGCTTCAGTTCATGACTTCTTATGCTATGCTTGTCTAACAGGCTATAATTGCATTTTGCAAAGAAAGACAAAGCATTGAAACTGAGCTGGGACCATGTAATAATTTAATAACAGATATATGCCATTTGATGGGTGAATGTCGAGAGGCAGTGCAGTATTTCGAGGCCCACTCGATTCATCCTGCTTATGACTTAAAAAATGCAGTTCGCAGCTTAACTTTCCCTTACTTGAGGAGATGTGCCTTGCTCTGGAAGCTAATCAACAGCTCTAACATGGTGCCTTTTAGTGATGGCGGGTTCGACTCCCAGGGTGGATCATCACTCTATGCAGGTAATGACTGCGAGTATTCACCTGACTCTGCAGACGAGCTTCTGGAGATTGAAAAGCTGGAGGGTATCTTTGGAATTCCTCCCCTTGACCTTGTTGTTGGTGATGAGGAATCACGGAAGGCGGCATTGGGTTGGCTGGGCCATTTCCGTGAAGTGCTTGAAGCTTGTAAATCTCGACGTGTTTTGAGATTTAGTCCTGCAAGCCCGTTGAAGCTGATGATTTTGCCGAATCTGTACCAGGATTTGTTGCAGAGGTTGAATATTGGCATCGTGTAGTAGTATATTGCTGCTTTTTTTTTTGGTGTTTGTTATTTGTATTTATTGCTGATGTGGACTTGTGCTGGCGCCAGGTATATTAAAAAATCTTGCCCCGACTGCGGGGTCGTGAAGGAAGAGCCTGTGGTGTGTTTGTTGTGCAGTAAACTGTGCTCACCAAACTGGAAAACGTGTTGCAGGTCTGTAAAATAAAATACCATTGTGCATATAATCCTTCTTAGTCACTTGTTCTTCTATAATTAAAATCTGGATGTTAACTCTGGTTCATTTTGTTGTTAAGGGGGAGCGGTTGTCAGACTCACGCGATGGTTTGTGGTGCCGGCATTGGGGTATTTTTGTTGGTCAGGGTATGCATTTAGATTTTGAGTTTGTTATGTAACATTATATTTCTGTTATATGACACATGGATGGCTGCAATTGGTTGCCTTTTTGTTTTCGGTTTTTGTTCCCCACTATGTGCCTTCTTTTATTTTTATTCTTTTTGGGAAACTTTTAAATTTAGTTGTTTAGACTTTAGACCACCTATCATTTTAACTCCATTTTTAATATTGTCGTCGAATCTCTAATGACTATTTTACAGGGTTTCATTAATTTTACCACCAATCTTATTCATTCCGAAATTACATTTCATCTCATAGAAATTTTCATATATAATAGGGAAAAAGGTTATTACTATCTAAAACCAAAATTTTTCTAAGTCAAATTTCTCCTATTTTGTTTAGAGAACGACAATCCTGCTTCAGAGATCTGCACGTCAGGCACCTTGGCCATCGCCGTATTTGGATGCATTTGGTGAAGAGGTAAATGATGCTGAGGATTCATTATTCGTACTTTTTGTATTTGGGGTTGCTGTTACTGATTATTATTGGAATCTATGGAGAGTCGTCTAAACACTTTGTGTAGTAGCTTTCACTCGTAAATATTCGCGTTTGCTATTTTGGTCGTGCAGGCTAAATGGTAGACAAGGACTTCCTTTATATATATTATGGATATATACGATCTTCTTTCCTCCTGCAATTGAGTGTTAATCGGATATTTTTTTTAATTTCAGTATGTTAATTTGTCCCCAACTTGCTTGGGACTAAAAGGCTATGTTGTTGTTGTTGTTGAAATTTGTCATTCATGATGCAGGATGTTGAGATGCATAGGGGAAAACCATTGTTTTTGAATGAAGAACGATATGCAGCTCTAACTCATATGGTATACTGTTTATATATGCTTCTATCTCATCTGAAATAGGGAGTGCTGTATCTTATCCTACTGGCCTCCCCTTGTATTTTATGATCTTCTTTTTCTTTTTTCCGACTCCTTACTTTTTTATATGATCAAATGCTTCTTTTAAAAATATATTAATAACACGTGATTCTGTTTTAGGTGGCTTCTCATGGGCTCGATAGAAGTTCAAAAGTGCTTGGCCAAACCACAATTGGTTCACTTTTCCTGTTTTAGACTGTCCGGCATGTAATATAGAACTTACATTCCTCCATCGAGGTTAGGCTTACTAATTTCGATTGCAGCTTGTGTTTTTTACTTTGTGTTTTGAATCTTAATACTTTCTATTTTCAAGAAGGCATATTTATCGGCTTCATGGACTGAACATTTCAGGCTATTTAATGTTCGACTCGTGTCTCAAAGATGCTACAAGGTTTCAACTTTCGACAAAGGATCAGAATACCAATGGCAGTCTATGTTTTTTGAATGTACAGACTTCATAAAGGTTACCCATTTCTTCTTCTTTTTTTCGCCTTTTCTTTGGCTGAATGAATAAATCGATGACAATTAGGGGATATGGTGCTTTTGGTATATCATGTATTTAGCGATGTTATTCAAGCCGAGTTGAGTAGCTCATGTTTGAGTTCGTGCTCATTTAATAAGTGAGTAGGCTCGTGTTAGATATCATTTGTTATTTAGTATATTTCAATAATTGGCCTTTTGGGCCCATTTGCTTAGAATATCGATTAGGGTTATAACTAGGGTTAGGCAGGACTATTTAAATAGACTAGTATTTGATACATAGGATTAGCTGGTGTTGAATAAAAAGGCGCTTCCTGAAGTGTCGGCCTTAGTCTGGGCGGGATTCGTCCAAGTTATTTTCGAGTTATTTTCTTAATTAACAATATCAATTATCTATTATTTTTGTTTGCTTTGACTGTTAACTCTGTCAGCTCGGCTATTTCGAGCTCTTTTAATAAACTAACAGGAGATTCAGCTGATTTAAGTTCATGAAAGCTCGGTTCAGCTCAGTTTGGCTCATTTAATAGACATAAAATCCTAAACGAGTTGCTTGAAATGTCCATTGGCTGTTCCGTTGAAGAAATAAAAAAATGAGTGCGAACTAATGAAGGAGCCGCGATTAAACTTTCACGAGCTGAACCGAGTTGAATAGCTCTGTTCGAATTACTCTAATTATGTTATCATATTAAAATGTGGCTCATGTGCTGATAATTGTGTTTATTTGCTTGTCTCCAGCAGGAAGCTTCTTGGTGAAATGACAATCATCTCCTCTTTCATCACTGAGTTTATAAATCTTCATCATGTGTAAAGTACTGTAATATAGAATGCAAGTTTCAGCTTGGTCCTTGAGAGATTCATTTTGTCTTGTAAATCCTACTGAGGTTCGAATACATATACTCGTACTTTCAAGATGAAACATCACTTTCTACAAAACATCAATAGCATTATGAAATTTCGTTATATAAATTTGAAATTTTGTTAAAGAATGATGGAGTCGAACAATTTGATGGTTAAGCTGTCTTACACAAAAAATTATTCAAAAAAAAAATAAATATGAATGTTATAATTGAAGAAAGCACTGTACTTCAACTGTAACTAGTTTATTTACCACTGTGGGAAGACCTACTGTACAGATTATAACAATACGGAAGGTAAAATAATTTGGATGAATAGAAATAAAAATAATAAATTACGAGCGCCTAAATCAATGCCCAAAATCTTCCTTGGCCTGCAACTTCATACCCCGAAAGAATCCAACAAATCTTATCGACTACTCAAGAATTTTTATGTTTTTTTTCCTACAATTTTTCTCTACGTATACCCACCTTCTGTCACCTGGTAAAACACATAGAAACAATAAAGAAATGAAGCAAATGAGTACAAACTTCACAGTAGATTATCATTATCAAAGAGTAGAAGCTTGATAAGGCTTCAAAAATAGCAGGAAAGCAAATGAAGATTCCCGTTTAATCACGATCGTGGCGTTAGATTTAGCAGCATCTCTCTGGAGAGCCGTGAGATTGATTTAGTGTAGATGTATGGACGGCTGGGATTAGAGGGTGGGGGCATTAAATTTTGTTTCTTGAGGAAAACAAATCTAATGAATTAATTTAATTTTAGAGGCAATAAAAATTAAGAAATCTAATGAATTAATTTAATTTTAGAGGCGATGAAAATGAAAATAAAATAAGAGTGTTGTAATTCTCAAAGTGTGAAATGGGGAAATGGTTAAGGGCATGCTTGTTTACAAATTATTTCATTTTCAATCCAATTCATACTCAAAATCTAACTCAACTTTAACTCAACCCCATTATCTTTAATTTATTCATATAATTAAATAATATAAACCAATCATTCTTACACATCACATCAACTTTAATTCACTATTCATCCACTCACATAATTTTAACTACCTATCATTTTTAATCATTTTCAATCATTTATCTCTTATTTTTACATCAAATCAATTTTAATCATTTTATTTTAAATATTATTTTAATACATTCTTAAAATCCCACTAACAATTAACCATACTACTTTTTCAAAATTAACTCTAGTTAACTAAAATAACTCATTTTGAATGAAATATTTCATAAACAAGCACGCCCTAAATTATTTTTAAATACTAATAACTTTTGTACTTTAGATAATATGGAATATATTTAATTTATCATATTTTTATGATCCTCCACACATATATTATATATAATATAATATAGAAAATGTGTTATTATCATATTTATATAACAATATATAGGCGGAAAGTAATAATTTTGTTCAATCCATGTTGTTAACTAGTATTGTTTTTAATCTAATAATGATCAGTACATTTTAACTTATACTAAACATAATCGCTTGAGTCATGCTCCACTCGAGGAAAAAACACAATCGCTTAAGATTAAGATTGGCTGAAATTTCGTTCGAGTTGACATCAAATTTTCAATAAAAAGTTAGAAAAATTTATATAATGTTATATAGTTTCCAACGAATTATCACAAACTCCAACTTGCAAGATTTAAGATCGTGCTCAAGTTTAAATTTGAGATGCTCGAATCAATGTTCACTCAAACACACTCAAACTCAAATTTGAGTCGAGCATTAAATTCAACACTTGCAAACCGTCATATACATAAGACAGTCTAATTGTTAGACGAATCAACTCGTTTAAACATATGAACTCATCATATATTTGTAACAAAAATATAATATTTATGGAGTACTATAATTCACTTAAAAATAAAATTTTTTGTTTATGTTGTTTATTAAAATACTATATGTCAATATGATTAACCACTCGAATTTTTTTTCCGTTGAATCATGTGTAAAAACTCGTTTACTACAAATATATTCATTGTTAAAGATCAAATGCTCCGGACAATAGGAGAAATGAGTTTCCATTAATGTCAAAGTCCAAAAACTCAACTCTCCTAATACATGCAGAGATGGTAACATTACCAACAAATTATTTTCGCACATAAAAACAGAGACACAGACTCCAAAAGCCAACCATTACAACACTCAATGGCCGCTTTTATTACATAAGCCATCACCACATAAATGATGGCACATTTTGATAAGTTGACACACACACTGACTCGATATTAATGATAACACTACTTAATCTTGATCTTCCTCCCCATCTCGGCTACAAGGCCCAGCTTTCACGGGCCCGGGCCCGGGCCCAGGCCCAGACCCAGGCCCATTCACTTGCAGGTGCATGGGCTGCAGGTGCAGCTGGCGCCGCACTTGCAGCCATCATTCGCCCCACACTCCACAGACTCTCCTCCATCTGCAAATCTGCAAATTAGGCCCAAACGAACAAAATAAAAAATTCAGTGATGTGACATCAATCTCATACTTTCTATACAAGTTATTTAATTTTTACAAAATCTTATCCCAAATAATAAAAACACTAAGTAAAATAAAAATCGGTAAAACATAAAAATGAAAATTGCATACGCCATTTTCGGGGCAACGCCGAGCACGGTGGCCACCGTGGGGGCCGCGGCCTCCGAGTAGCTCAAGTCTGGGTACATTTTGCACCTGCGAAAATCATTCCAAATTAAAACGTTTCAATTTATCTAGAGGTGTAACACAGTCGAGCGAGTGAACTCAACAAGCTGGTTAACAAAATATATAAAATTATTCAAAATCAAACAAGCCTAACAACACCAATTTTATCTACGGATCAAATTTCACAACTGATCGGCCGATACTCGAGCTCAAACAAAGTTAATCGGCCGCAAAATTGAAGGGAAATAAAAGGCACTCAGAAGCATTTTAAATTTAGCGATAAACACGAAACAAAATGAGAAAATAAAAAGTTCAAACAAATTCACCCTCCGCAGCCATTGCCGCAGCCACAGTTAGATCCGCAGCCGCAGTTTCCTCCACAGCAAGACATTTTTTTTTCGTTTGGTTGAGAGCTGAAAATGGCGATTTAAATTTAACTCTGTAGCGAATTTCTGATTATCGGATTTGAGTGTGATTTGGGAGAGTTCGCAGTGGGTTGATTTATAGTGCAGTGATTGGGGGAAACGATGGTGATCGACCGTACACGTGGCGTGATGTGGTGGTGTGAGTGGTCCTCTTAAGTCGGTCCCACATCCTCCACGTCGCCATCCTTTCTTTTGAAAAATAGGAGAAAAAGCCAACTTCTTTTGATTTTGACAATCTAATACACTTTTATTTTGTAATTATATATATACAATCTGAAATAAATCTCATAGCATTCATTACAGAATTAAAATGCCAAAAGGAACATCACAAACATGAAATTCTATAGTTATAACAAAAGAATATTACAAACATTCATTACATGAATATTACAAACAAAAGTTGTTAGAACGTCTAACAATTAAATGAGTGATCAGTCATATTTTTTTTAGCAATATGTATGAAGTGTTTAAAATATATATTGTATTCTACAATAAAAATATTGTTGAAAAAAGTACACTTATACAATTTTAAAGTAAAAATAACTAAATAAAAAGAAAAAGAAAAAGAAAAATTCACTAAATTCCTCATCCATTGAAATTGAAAGTAAAAGGTCGATCAGGACCTGCAAAAGCAGCCGTATGGTCATTTCATATTTTAAAGTTCCATAACTAAAGTGCAACTTTGCAAAATTTATATTTCTTTCGTAAAATTATTAATTAAATGCTGATGCATTGCATGCACGCACTTTTGTATTCAAGGTAATAAAATGTTTCCGGTTCCAGACATTTTTTTTTTTTAAACTTTTATATAAATGATAAAATCTGATAGCACTCCCATACAAATAAGATATATTAATGTTTTAAAATTGTATGTTAAATTACGTTTAATTCAATTGAATGAATTTGTTATTCATCTAATCGAATGAACATGAATTGAAAAAATAATTTGACACGTATTATCATGATGAAATATTGTGATACTCTAAGAAAAGATATTTTATTATAAAATAGTACGATTGTATTTTTAGATAGACTTAATGAATAGACTACCGGATTTTATATACTTTCAAATTTAATGTCACACTCTAAAAATAACATAAGCAACATATAATAAAATGCATTTTCATTGAAATTGAAAGAGTATTATTTTTGCATAAGTTCAAAAATAAATATATTGAAGGTGAGTTTCTACAAGCACAAAGAATCTATAAAAGGGAAGTTTATTTGTTTACTTATATAAATGTACGAATTTTCTACTTATTTATTTATTAAGTTGCATAATCTTATTATGATGTTGTTTTTGTAGGATTTCGGCTTTAAGGAAGGGATACTCATGAGATAAAGAGAAATCAAGAGAAGATCATCATGTAAGGAAAGAAGAGTCCTAATGCTTTTATGAGACTTTAGATAAACTTGAAAGAAAATCAATAATCTTGGAAAAGACTCCACAAGAAGGAGATGTATAAATACCCATCGTGAAGATCGAAGTATGGTTGCCGCATTAGTCATTACTCACGCACCATTCGAGCTTCAAGATTTCTTTTTGATTTTTCATTTTGTATTCAGTTCTTCTCAATTCTTGCGACGAGGAAGCCTGAAGTTGATCTTTGTTTTTCTTTTGTTCCTTTCATTCAAACATTATCGTGATTAACACTTAGGGATTAAGTGATCATTAGAAAGTCCACGGGACATGGCCGGAGAAGTAGTTGATAGATTTGTTCATAGTTGTGGCGAGGCTAGAAGAGAGTTCTAGTTGTTATAAGTCCAAACTATGTTCGAAAGAGTTAACAATGAAAGAACTATGAAGTGAAGTGGGATACTTCACTGAAGAGTTTTTAAATTTTCGATTTATTGCTTCCGCTACATTTAATTTTTATTCGTATTCTTACAAAGTTGAGCGCACTCGCGATAAATATATAAGTTTCAGAAATAAATGATGGTCCGACCCACTTCGCAGTTATGGCGCCTCATACATCCATTTTTTTATTAGCTAAAATAGTATATCTTCCTATTACTTGACTAATTTAAAATAATTTAAATATCGATA